AGAACATTGGTTCAGGATATAAATAAGCTAAGCTTTGTTAGACACAAAGTGAAAAAGGTAAAAGTAATCGGATTAATAATCCGATTTAGCTTGGTTAACTTTTGGTAAGCAATGATGCAATATTAATCAACCTAATCAGTAATCAAATATTCCATACATTTTTTTTGTAACCTTATCCTACGTATGACACATTTACACCTACATTTCAGCTTAGATATATACGTAGGGTTGGTTTGCAATTCCTTTTAAAAAGGCACTTCTCACCTTTTGGATTTAAAAAAGCACTTATTTTCCCAAATACTACAACTTTTATTTTTCTTGACTTCCGCGTCAAAACTGTTTTTACTTTTTCTATTACACAAAAAGCACTTATTTTACCAAACACTACCGACTGTTACTTTTCAAAATCATTTTTTTCTCAAACACTATCAACTTTTATTTAATCACTTCTCCCCATTTCATTAAAAAAAGCACTTTTTTAAAAGCAGAAGTTGTTGCAAACAGACCCGTAGTATATTGCTATCTACTTTTACTACTAAGGTACTTCATTCCACATAAGAAATGGTCTATATAACAATTAATTATAAAACATAACATTAAATAATATAGGAAAGTAGTTTTTCTAAAAAAGGAATAGTTACATTTTAATTAGAATCTGAGTAATCTATATTTTACAATTGTCAATTTGTCATATCCATTTTAACATTTTGTATTTCTTTATATTTTTATACTATTATCTAATCTAATCTAATAATAAAAACTTATAAACACCAATGATGGTTAGGGCATTTTAGGAATGATAAAAATGTTGGTGTAACACTAAAGCAAGTTACACTTGTACAATTTGTTTTAGCTATTGTACCTTTCATCATTACTCCTATTTCGGCTACTTTCTCCGTTACCAACTGTTAAGTTTACTATTAACATCCTATATGTGGCTTTCGTATTTTAATTATTCTATGTACTTAATGGTATTGATTCTTATGTAATGTTTTCATTCAATTTTTCATTTTAATTCTTTTTTCTAGGTCACCGTATATGCTATGTAGAAGATGAAATGCCCCCTTTTTATTATTATGGTGATTAATTACTAATATTATTTATTCTTATTGTTGCTGTTATTTGATATTATCATAAATATAAAAAAAATTATTATTATTGATATTAGTAAAATAATAACAGTAACTATATTATTATGATTGAAAAATCATTTTTTGTAAAATTATATCTTCTCCCTTCGAAATGAAATGGCCAATGCCCAGCAAGGTTTTCGCTCATATTGCAAAAATGATTACTTCAAAAGTAGCCTTTTGTGGCCCAAAATATTTGGCTGCATCTCTCTGTTAAGAGTTATTTTGTTAATCTTATTCTTATTACTTATTTCTTTTTCTTATTAGATTGATTTGTCAGAAATATCAAATTGAAGAATTCATATCAGATCAGAAATATTCAGACCATATCATATAAAAAAGACACAGTTCAGAAAAATTAAGACATGATTTATTATTATTATTATTATTATTATTATTATTATTATTAATATAATCCATATTATTATTATTATTAATATAATCCATATTATTATTGTTATTATCAATATGACTATTATCATTACTATTATTATCAATACTGTTATGGTTATTATTATTATTTTCATTTATGATTACTGTTGTTGTTATCTACTACCTCCGTCCCATTTATATTGTCCCGGAAGAGGGTGGCACGGTTATTAAGAAAAGTGGGTTTGTGTTGTTGATATTAATTGATAAAGTAAGAATAAAGTAAGAATGATTTAGAGCCACACAAACTTTGCCAAATATGGTATGAGACAATTTAAGTGGGACTTTCCGAAAAGGTAAAATGGGACAATATAAATGGGATGGAGGGAGTATATGTTACTATTATTATTATACGTATGTATAGAAGCATAAGTTCTTGCTATTAATATTTGAAAAATAATAATAACATTATTTCCAAATGCCAAGATCATAAATTAATACTACGTATGTTTTAATTTCCTTTAAAAAAATTACAGAGGCATAAGTGTCGAATGCTTTGTTTATGTGTACAAACATATACGTAGTACGATAGTATATGCTTACTATGAACGGGAGATTGTTGATTATCACTGCCGTCACCCCCAACGTACTCCATCCCAAATAATATTATAATAATTAACTATCAGATCACTGCAATACTTTATTTTATATGCTTATCAAAGAGGAATATTGACCTATTGAATCAGAAGCATTATTGACTTTACCTCAGTGGCACAATCAATTCAAATTAATTATTGCACATGCCTCTTAGTTACTACATACGATAGTATTTAGTATGTGCAATTAGGGCTATTGGACTCAAACATCAAACAACTCAAATATGTTATTCATTAACATTCCATTATATTAATCTTGTCATAATAATTTTGGGCATTTTCCCTTCGCGCACCGCGCGTCGTATCACTAGTCATTCATACGGAGTATGAAAACCCAACAAATTATAATCTCATTAGGCCATTAGGGTAAAAATTTATGTAACTTAAAGTTTACTTTCTTTGTAATTATTGTTAACTTTAATCCGGATGATGTTACAAATTGTTTAGAATATGGAAGCAGTATATAAAAAGGTACATTCATCACATTCATATTTAGTGTTCCTTTCTTATTTAGTGTTTAGTTTCTATGTGTATTATTACACACACATATTTTTTGTAAGAGTTCATTAAAGGCTTCACGTACTAATGACATTTTATATATGAACATAATATATTATGTCTCTCAATTTTATAAGTCCTAACTGATACTTATTTTTAATTCGTTTAACAATTTTACTAAATTTGACACATTAAACATCTTTGTAACTCGGTCTATTTAGGTGAATGCAAAATCAAGATCAGTTTTTAAGAATAAGGTGGCCCCTCAGGCAGACTTCTATAAGTCTATTTATGAGACCAGATGATTCCAGTATACTACGGAGTATTTGATTTCCTTCTCACAAAATCATGTTTAAGGAACTCTAAAAAAACTCATGTTTGAGGAATGCAGAGTTTTTCATTTTAATTAATCAACTTAAATGAAGTTATAAAAAGCTTTTAAAAATTATGTCTAATGTTGCTAAAAGACATGTTCATTTCTAATAATATATGTCTACACTCTACACATGTTTTTAATGAAAAGAGTAAAGATGTTTTTATTTAACTGCAAATTTTTTTGTCGATATATTATGTTATGTTTAAGTCTAGTCTTGTTTGAACTGGTCTAATTTGGTAAATATTTGTTTTACACGTATTTTGCTATTATCTAGGTTCAATCTTGTTTGATCTAATCGTATCTCATGTAATTTATTTGATCTTGCCTAGTCTGGTTTAATTTTCTCTAAGACTAAAATGTGTTCAGATCAATTAGAAACATGTTAAATTCAATTTAAAACATGTTAAGTTTCACTTAAACACTTCTATTTAGTTGTACATATAATTCGCAAGTCGAAGTTTATAATATACTCCGTAACTCCGTAAGTACGTATAGGAGGTGTGAGAGTATTGTTTGTATACTTTCTATACTTCGTATTTATTTCCAGTTCTGTGAGTAACTATATTCTTTGTACGGCCCTTAAAATCAATATGATTTAAAATGGAATAATTTGAGTTTGCATCCCATTTTATGGTCCAAATTAGACTTTGCACCATGTTTTTAAAAATGTTTGTTTTTGCACCCCACCTTATATGAAAAGACAAAAAACCCTCCATCAGAATATGTTGAAGGCCAACAAAATTGTTAATGGAGGAGCATTTTTGTCTTTTCACGTGGGGTTAGGGTGCAAAAACAAAGTTTTTTAAAAATGGAGTGCAAAATCTAATTTGCACAATAAAATGGGGTGCAAACTCAAATTAACCTATTTAAAATCCCTTCCTAGTTCCTATGTTCCTTACTATAGTGTGATTTAAAATATTGTAATAAGATATTTTAAAATATTGCACAATCTTTTTCATTTGTACGGAGTATTATTCTTGTTGTATCACTTGTACGTTGCAAAATATTTGAAGAGAATATACTGTTACGGTATTTATTAATTATTATGCTAAATTTCGGGGTTATTTTAAAGTATGTTTGGATGGTCATTCAAGTTTAAAATGAGCTAAAATTTAATCAATTCAAATAACTTTATTCTGTTGGAAATACTTTATATATGTAGCGGAAGCAATACAAGAACAACTCAAATCAATTGCTCTAACATTTTCAGGACATTTATCATGAGGAGCCGAACGAGGTAGATGACGTTTTGATCTTCCTCAATTGAACCGTCTCGAGGCCTTAGTCTCTCTTCTCATGGGGAGAAAAGAAGGGAATGATGGTGGTTTATTAGATTGATTGGGCTTTACTATTTGTATAATTAGTATAGGTGGGCTAAGGGCTCTTGTTTGGTAGCATAGCACGTGTATATATATTCTAGCTCCACTAATTGTATAGGCAGGAGAATATTTTCCAATCAAAATCATTATTTGCTTCCTTACTTTAGATGGTATCAGAGCAGCGGTAGATTGGCGTCGTGGTCTTCGGAAGAACTTCGCAGACAGCACCAGCGTGCGAGAAGCGGAGCTACACCATGGGCGACCCAACTTCCGTATATTATTTGGGACCCGGCGATCAACCCGGTAACCAAATTACTCATGTCATATTCAAAGGGGACAATTTCGTGGCGTGGTCTCGGGCTATCTCTTTGGGTCTCAAGGCACGCCGGAAATATGTGTTCATTGACGGAACAGAAAAGAAACCGACTGAAGCGGCGCAGCTTTCCAACTGGGAGACAGTGAACTCTATGGTTGTCTCGTGGCTGCTACGGTGTATGGATCCGGCACTAGCGGCTTCCATTCCGTTTCATGACGAAGCACGCTCATTGTGGTTATACTTGGAGAACAGGTTTAGTGTTGCCAACGGCCCACGATTGCAGCAACTTCGGTCTGCCATCACAAGCTGCCGGCAATCGAAGGGAATGACGGTGGATGATTATTACACCAAATTGATGAGCTATTTTGATGAATTGAACAGGTTAAAGCCATTGCATGCGTGTTCTTGCGGGCTCTGTACATGCGGGCTGGCTGCAAAATTCGCGGCAGATCGCGAAGAAGAAAAATTGCATCAGTTTATGATCGGTATTGATGACGAAATTTACGGGACAGTCCGGTCCAACTTGCTGTCCCACACTCCAATGCCAGACCTGAATCGAGCTTACCAAGCTTTTATACAAGAGGAAAACTCAAGGGCAGCAGCTCGCGGAAAGGCAGTTGAAATTGATGGCCAAGCTTTCGCACTTCATCTCGATCGGCAATCCAAAGGGAAGCACGAAAAGCCGGACCGAACCAAATTGCTTTGCACTCACTGCAAGAAGAAAGGACATGACGTGGGTTCATGCTTCAAGCTGCTGGGCTATCCAGATTGGTGGGAGGATCGGAACCGGTCAAATGGCGGGACTGTTGGCCGTGGAGGTGGGGTCAAGACGCATGCTGTTACCGCAACAGGTGAAGGCTCAACTTCTACGACTGATGCCAAGGGACTGTCCCAGTTGAGTCAGGAGCAGGTTCATGCTTTGCTGAACTTACTCAATAATGAAACTCGTTCATCCGATCGCATGGCAGGTAAATTTGATTGGATTATTGACACAGGGGCGTCTCATCACGTCACAGGTGATATTGATTGTTTGACTAATACGACTCATATATGTGCACGTCTGGTGGGTCTGCCAGACGGACGAACAGTCGAGGCTGTATTGGAGGGTCGTGTTTCTTTTTCTGAACAACTTGGTTTGGAACACGTCCTTTATGTGCCTGGATTGCAATGTCATTTAATTTCAGTTTCACAATTAATTGATCAGACCGGTTGTTTAGTGACTTTCACTGATTCGTTTTGTGCTATACAGGACCGTCCCTCGAGGAGCCTGATTGGAGCAGGTGAGCGACGAGATGGGCTTTATTATTTCCGGAAAGTACCTGTTTTGCATGCTATTCACACGTCAGATTTGCCTGCGTTCGAACTGTGGCACCGACGTTTGGGGCACCCGTCTGACCGCGTGGTTAAATTATTGCCTGATATTTCTAGTAGTTCTTCTGTCAAACGTTTGAATAAGCCTTGTGAGGTTTGTCCACAAGCTAAACAAGTGCGTGATTTCTTCCCTATTAGTGACAATAAAGCAAGTAGAATTTTGGAACTTATTCATTGTGATTTATGGGGTCCTTATAAAACCCCTTCTACTTGTGACGCTATTTATTTTATGACTTTGGTTGATGATTATTCCCGAGCTGTATGGGTTTATTTGCTGCGTGACAAGACAGAAGTGTATCGTTCCTTTCTTTCCTTTATTGCCATGATTGAAAAACAATTTGAAGTGTCCGTTAAAATTGTGCGCAGTGATAATGGCACAGAATTTAAATGTTTGCTGCCATATTTTGAGAACCGTGGAATTTTGTTTCAGACATCTTGCGTACATACCCCTCAACAAAATGGCCGGGTAGAGCGTAAGCATCGTCACATATTGAACGTGGCTCGCGCACTAATGTTTCAGGCAGATATTCCAATTTTGTTATGGGGAGAATGTGTACTTACAGCGGTACATCTGATTAATCGTACCCCCTCGGGATTGTTAGCCGGCAAAACACCCTATGAGGTGCTTACGGGCAAATCACCTACTTTTCATCAGCTACGGGTGTTTGGGTGTTTAGCTTTTGCTCGCAATACAAAGACGGATGGTGATAAATTTTCTCCACGTAGCCGGAAGTGTGTATTTATTGGATATCCTAATGGTAAAAAAGGATGGAAAATGTTTGATTGTGATACGGGGGACATTTTTGTATCGCGTGATGTGCAGTTTCATGAAGACGTCTTTCCCTTCTCGGAAGCTCCTAAGACTGCCGCTTCAGACATGGGTCCCACTGTACCCATGATTCTCGATACGGACACTGTTGTTCCAATGCAAACTGATGATGAGCCATCCGCAGCTTCAGGAACTAATTCTGTCGAGGCTCCTTCTGATAATATTACTCTCGGTCGTGGCATGCGAGCTAAGCGTCCATCAGTACTGCTTCGAGATTATGTTGCTCACTTAAGCCCATCTCTGTCCTCGCCCTCCGTCAGCTCTTCAGGTACGCGGTATCCTATTAGTAAATACGTTTCATGTGATAAGTACTCCGCACATCACCGCATGTTTCTTGGAGCTCTTCTTGCAGGACAGGAACCCCGGTCCTTTAGGGAAGCTATGACTGATGATGGATGGCGCTCAGCTATGAAAGCTGAAATACAAGCACTTGAAAATAACCACACATGGGAAATGGTGCCTCTTCCCCATGATAAAAAGGCACTCGGATGCCGCTGGGTATATAAAATTAAATATAAATCTGATGGGACGGTTGAACGTCTCAAAGCACGTTTGGTTGTCTTCGGCAATCATCAGGAGGAAGGTATTGACTATACTGAAACTTTTGCTCCTGTCGCCAAAATGGTGACGGTACGATTACTTCTAGCTGTTGCTGCAGCCCGAAACTGGGAGTTACATCAGATGGATGTTCATAATGCCTTCCTCCATGGTGATCTGGCAGAGGAGGTTTACATGCGCCCCCCTCCGGGCTTTTCTCCATCTCGGCCTGGCTTAGTATGTCGTTTGCGCAAATCACTGTATGGTCTACGCCAGGCTCCGCGATGTTGGTTTGCTAAACTGACCACTGCGCTGAAACAATACGGGTTTCTACAGTCTTACTCAGACTATTCTTTATTTACTTTGCGACAGGATGACGTGCAAATACACGTGCTTATATATGTGGATGATCTGATTATTGCTGGGAACAATTCAGCAGCTTTGTCTCGTTTTAAATCTTATTTGCACTCATGCTTTCATATGAAAGACCTTGGTGTTCTTAAATATTTTCTTGGCATTGAAGTTGCACGGGGCGCTGATGGGATTTTTCTTTGTCAGCGCAAGTACATTTTGGATATTATTTCTGAAGCAGGTCTTCTTGGGGCTAAACCTTCTTCTTTTCCCATGGAGCAAAATCATTCATTAGGCCTTGCTACGGGTGATTTATTAGCTGAACCAGCATCCTATCGACGTCTTGTTGGTCGTTTAATCTACTTGTCCTTTACTAGGCCGGATCTGGCCTATTCAGTACATATTCTATCTCAATTTATGCAGGCTCCGAGACGAGAACACTGGAACGCAGCCCTTCGAGTGGTTAGGTATCTCAAAGGCTCTCCTGGACAAGGCATTCTTTTGAGCTCCTCATCTGATTTGACTCTCTCGGGGTGGTGTGATTCAGATTGGGCTAGCTGCCCGCTTACTAGACGTTCCCTAACCGGATGGTTGATTTTTCTTGGAGATTCTCCGGTTTCCTGGAAGACCAAGAAACAACATACTGTGTCTCGGTCTTCCACTGAAGCTGAATACCGCTCTATGGCAGCTATCACTGCAGAATTGAAGTGGGTGAAAAGTCTCCTCTTTACTCTCGGCATTGCTCATCCGAATTCTATTCCCTTATATTGTGACAGTCGCTCAGCTCTTCATATTGCTCACAATCCTGTCTTTCATGAACGTACCAAGCACATAGAGGTGGATTGTCACTATGTTCGTGATGCACTACAAGAGGGGATGATCACCACACAACATGTGTCTACCATTAATCAGTTAGCTGATATTTTTACGAAGGCTCTTGGACAACGGCAGTTTAGCTATTTATTGCGCAAGTTGGGCATGTTTGATCCCCATGCTCCAACTTGAGGGGGGGTATTAGATTGATTGGGCTTTACTATTTGTATAATTAGTATAGGTGGGCTAAGGGCTCTTGTTTGGTAGCATAGCACGTGTATATATATTCTAGCTCCACTAATTGTATAGGCAGGAGAATATTTTCCAATCAAAATCATTATTTGCTTCCTTACTTTAGATGGTTCAATGTATTGGGGACCATAGCCTTTATATAGAGTGTGCTGGTCTAGTTAGGGCTCTCATTAAACTAACCCTAACAAGTAACACGGGCATCTACCCATTTATTTGGCCCATACAATTTATCTTAATAGTCTATTGGGCTTAGATAATATTGACCACATAAATAAAACTCAATAATGATAAATAGCTGATACAATAATTATAATATTAGCCCATATTAATTATTGGAATAAAATATTCCAACATATTCACATATAACTTTGTATAAATGAAGAATTCAACTTGTCTACTTGTAAAAATAAAGTGATTAGAAACGTTATTCATGAGGTATATGAAGGAATGATTTACTGGATTGAAGACAAGGAAAATCGGGCTTTTCCAAAGAAGTAGTGTAGCTAGAGGTGCTCAAACAAATACAAGAAATGCGGGTCAAACCGGATAGTACGACTTTGAGATGGGTTATATATGACCGGGTCCTAATTTTGAGAACTCAAACGGGGCGGGTCCTAAAAATTTTAAGAACCGCACGAGTATTAGAATTTGAAAAAACGGGTATCCAGATTAACAACACGCAAAATTTCTTGTAATTCATGAATCTATTAAAAAAAAATAGTTCAAAATGCATATATACTTCTAAATTATTAACCCACTTATTCCAAATGTATCAAATTTTCTTTACTTTTTGGAAACACAGACTCTTGCTCAATTGCAAAAATAAAAAGACACTTGTTCAATAAAATGTGACATATTCATTTAATTATCTCAGGTTTACTTACATTTTGGATTTATTAATTAAGCTTTAAATTGTTTTCTAAACATTTTTAATATATGCTTAGTGACTAGTCTACTGTGACTTTATCTTTTTCTTATGACATCTAAGTTGTCCACTAATAATAAACTTTGTTTTATATTTTTGTTTTGAATTTTTACTATATACTAGTGACATTGATATTTAATTAGTTTGAATATTTTATTAGTGACATTGATATTTAATTAGTTTGAATATTTTATTACCTACTGAATATTTTGTTAGCGTAGCGCTAGTTTTTTACAACAAGTGATCATTCCTAAAATATGAGTACATAAGTTTTTATTCCTAAATTAAAGTTTTTTCTATGTATGATATGTGTTTTTATCCTACTGTTCCTCGATCTCTTGAATTCAGTTATACGATAGTATTAATTATTACTCATATAGTCATGTTTAAGTTTACTAACCAAGCAACCATGTGTTAGAAATCTATAAATGTTTTAATCATATTTCAATTCACTTAATTTCTCTTAACTTTATCCTCCTGTTAATCAACTATAATTTCACTGTAATTTGAGCAATTTTTATCCAACATCATACAATAGTTTGTAAAGCAAACTTTAGATTTGAGTTGTAGGTGGTTCTTCACTTCTTCCAAACATACCCAACTCTCCGACCATTGGTAATAAGGCATACGATTTTAATTTCAAAGTTTCATGATCCTTCAAATATTCTAGAAAGAGATACTTTTTCCGATCCATTTTCTTTTATTTACCGCACTTCTTCTTAACATTTATCAACGCATCACTTTGAACATTAATATCATGGTTTTAAATTGCGGTTGTGGTCGCGATTGCGGTTGCGATTGCAGTCATTGCGGTTGCGGCTAATGCGGCCGCTGCGATGCGTATTGCGGCTGTTGCGGCACGTCGCGGTCGATTGCGGCCTATTGCGGGATGTTGCGGCACCGTCACGGTTACGTTGCGGTTTCGTCGCGGTTACGTTGCGATTTTGGCCGTGATTTCAAATCATAAGGGTGTTGCGGTCTGATGCGGTTGCGGTGCCCTCTGCAACCGCAATATTGCGGCCACAATTGCAGTTGCCGTCCGCAATTTGAAACCATGGTTAATATGCTTTTTCGATTGTAGATTAACAAATAAAATAAAGTCAAAATAGAACATTGAATAATATAAAATTCAAAATGTTTTAATTATCTACTGATGGGATGAAAGATGATCGATAGTCTGCTAGTTCGATTAGTTGATGTTATAAAGATATGAGGAATTC